ACTTCGTAAGATGCTTGCAATAAGAGTTTCCATTATAGAATCTTTAAAAGTAAAATGTTTCCTTACTGCAAATGTACTACAAGTAGGGTGACCATTATAATTTGAGGGAAATCCAGGATTGCGGGGGGCAGGGGAGCCGCAGGGGGCCAGGCATGACAGCAGTGCACATGCGTGTGTGCACACGCACATGCACACACACACACCCTGACCCTGTTGCTCCTTCCCCCCTCCCCACCTTGACTCTACTGCACAAGTGACTCCACTCCAATAGAGTCCAGACCAGGGACCAGCGTTGGGGAAAACTGAAGCAAAATTCCTAAGTCCAGAGCTGGACGCGTGCAGGCAGGTTTGTGCCAATCCAGGAATTTTGGTTCAATTTTCTCCACTGGCTAGGGCACTGAGACACCCTCCAGAATCTGGGACCGTCCCAGCCAAATCGGGATGTACGGTTACCCTAAATATAAGTATTTATCCATAGTCCTATAAAGTACTACAAGGACTTGATCCAAAGTCCTTTAAAATCAGCCGATTATGAGGCTGCAGTTCTTGGTTGCTAAGACATATAAATATTTCTGGTGCTTTAATTTTATAATGCTCCTAGCAGATAACTTCTAACTTACCTTTGGATAGTTTACATGCCATATAGCTGTCAAAGTCCACTTCCAGTCCTACTAGCACATTCTCTCACATCATATACTGATTTAAAACTCTTGTAATTTGTAATTCCACATCTGCTTGCTAGCAGATCCAGAAAGATGAGCTGCACAAACACTTTAAAAGAAACACTCAAAAATATTGTCTGAATCAAACCCACAAGTTTGTCTCATCTGTATTTGCAACTCTTTAATTTTATTCTCTTTAAGCTTTTTTTTTTCAGATGAACATATGCATAAAATGAAAGTCTTGCAACTTCTTGTGCAAACATATTCAGAAAGGAAATTCTTATAATCTGAAAATATCTTTATTTTTCTGTATTCTTGTTTAATTTTATTTTAATAAAGTCTTCCAGTCAGAGAGCAGGAATAATGCCCTGTGATTTTAATTGACCAGGTGCATAATGAATAGTGAAAGGTCAGCCATGCACATAGCAAATAGCCAATGAGATATTCACAAGACTAAACAGGGTTTGCATAAGCCTGCATCAAGCTGTTCTGAACAATGAATAAATAAGTCAAATGCTAACTATTTGTGATTTATATTTAAAACTCAGTACTCTAAATACTTAAATCTTAAAACCCAGTTGTCAGGTAGGTGTGGTCCATCTGAGGCTGGTGATCCATTTTATTGCTTTGTCACATCTATCCAGGCATACTTTGTTCCTATGTGCTGGGATCCAGCTTCAAAATGGATGATCTAATTCTCAATGAAAGTTACAAGTACAAATAGTGTTCATAAAGCCAAATAGAATTTGTAACTGAGCAAGGACATGTTTCCCAAACTGTCACATACCCCATGCAAAATTGAAAAAGATCCAGTAGCTATAATATTTCATAGAAGAATTACATCTCTATAGCCATCCAGCACTAGGATGGCAAATGCTGTATAGACATATTGATGACAGCCCAGCTGCAGTGACACTTGCTAATCAAAGATACTTTGAAAGAGGATTAAGGGCCACTCTGAAGCTGTTCACTTGACAGGGCAATCTCTGATATCCTGTCTGTCAAGTTTTCTTTGGTAAGTAAGTAACAATGCCTTGTCAACAACAGGTAGAGAGAGGTGGGGTATGGATGGATGCTGCTACACAAACGATCTAGCACGTGGAATATATATTTATAGCAAATTTATGGTCAAATAATAATTATGGACCAGATTTTCTAAAGCTGGTCTCTTGCTTTGCACTCATAATTATGTGTGCCCATATTTTGTGGAGTGCACAAAAGGCAGTCCTAAATAAGGCAAGGCTGAAAAATTGCGTCTGTATCCTATGAGAAACAGCATTTCATTTGATTTCTTTAAAACAGTTTTTAAGGAGGAGCCTTTCCCTGAAGGTATTTGGTATTCAGGAAGCCCACTTAGGGCTATGTAATGATGGACACATAACTGGCATATTATTCTTAGGAATCCTTATTATTCAGGTTGTATCCAACTTGCAGATTTTAATTGAACACAACTCTGACAATCTTTTGTGTGTGTGTTTGTTTTTGGATTTGGCTCCCATGAGTTTTGGTTCATGTGATTTTGTGCTGCCTAAATTATACTTGGAGTTTTAGATGTGGGTAACCATCAGATCTCAAAATAAAACTTAGCTGAACTAACTCTTCCAGGCTTTAAATGGCATTCAGCATTAACATCAGCAGATCAGGCTACTTACTCATGAGCTCAGGGCTTGAAATCAACAAGTGGAGTTTATTCTGCTTTTGTAATAATTTTAGTAAGAGCATTTACACACAGTTTTATCACCGTTACAGAGTTTGCAGGTTCAAATAACTCCATGAAACCGGTATCTAGTCCAAAGACCACTGGAGCCAAAAGAAGTCTTGTGTCAGATTCATTTGTCACTGACTCAGGTCTGTACACTGATGGATTCAGAACAATCATATTCCATAATAACCATACAACACACTCTAATATATAATAAACACCGTGTTTTGAAAGGCAGAATGAAGGGGAAAAGATTGTTCCAGAGAGATGGTTGTGTAAAGCAGGGAGTCTAATTTTCAGATGACTTGGCTGAAACCCTAGCTGTTGCTGAAAACTGGTCTCCATGAGTGGATTTATGATTTTGAAATGAGCTAAAGCCTCTCCAAGATCGTGAAATAGGAGGAGAGAGATAAAGAGAAGTAGCGGACAGTAAAATTACCCTAAGAAAGGTTGTCTTGATTAGTGGAACACCAAGTCAATGAAAAAGGAGAGACAATCCTTAATATGACCAGTGAAAGACAATAAGCCATTAAGTTAATTGACTCTCTCAGCTGCCTGAATAGAAATGCAACTCCTGGAGAGCAGAAATCAAAGCAGGGTGCTTCTCTCCTGGTCAGAAATTCAGCTTGCCCTTTAATATATGCTCCCCAGGTTTGGGAGGAATGGTGCTTAGTTTAAGTGAGAAAACATGGTAACATGTCTAGCAAATAAAGCACCACTCTAGTCATGCCAAATGAAAACAAAAACAACTCCACACTAATAATATAGTGCATATATAACTTTTTTTTACTGTTTATTTAAAGTGATGAAATTTCAGCATGTCAACAAGGTTTGATCACCAAAAAATTCATCCAATGCTACAGCTAAAAAGGAAAAAATCTTAAAATGGTCCTTTAATATTTTCAGTAATTTTTGTCATAGTATTTTTCTGTTCACAAATTGAACTTCATTATGGAAAATCCCACAAACATGTTAAATTTCAGAATATCAGCCTGCTGTAATCATTGTTGTTGCTGTTACTGTGCCTAGTGGCCAGAAGAGCCACTGGTTTGAGGGAGTCCCTGGTACAAAGGCAAGGTTCCTGCTTTATCAGAACAAGGCATCAGGCAAAGTATCAACCCAAATCAATCTTTAGTTACTGTTAGGCGAGTTTTTCTCTTTTTGTCTCCAGAGTCCAAATAAACAATGAACAGGAACAATTTGACAGTGGTATACAGAAAGAAAACAGCAGTTTCTGGAGAGTTCTCAAAGGTTATAACTATACTGCCTATCATCCAATGGGAGAGGTGAGGAGGGACCCAAGCCTGACTCCCAGTGGAGCCAGAATTTCATTCTTTGTTTTTGATTCTCCATAAGGTAAATACTCTGTGTGAAGGACTGATGGATCATGAGAGTCCAAATAATGTTACTGGCTTCAAGCCAATATTCATAACTTCTAGTTCATACTGTCATATTTAAATATGCCTTTTCATTATTATGACAATTATTTGCCATATTTACCTGCATACCACACATGGTTTTTCCTCCAAAACTAGCCCTCCAATTGGGGTCCGTATCTTGAGCAGGAAAGCTATTTAGAAGGATAGAGAAGGATAGAGATGTTGAAATGGCTTTAGGGGTCTCTGTTTCTCTCCCTTCTCTCCAGCCAGCATTCAGCAGGGCAGAAGCCGCTGCCAAAAGTTGCTGCTAATTTGGCAGTGGTTGTGATGGGGTTAAAGCTTGAGCTTTTGTCTGAAGCAACCAGTGAGCTGGTTGAGGGTAAGCAAGCTACTTCATGGAGTTAGCTTTCAGCTCTGATTATGGAAAAAACCCTTTTTTTTTCCTTCAACCTGCCTTCCGAAAACAAGGCATGTATCTTATGGGGGCGGGGTATGCAAGAAAATGCACTAATTAAGCTCTGAAAAGCTTGGTAGTGAATAGAACACCAATCCACTGAAGACTGTTCCTGTCTTGATGAGTTTATAACATAGAAGGAATGAGATGTACTCAGAAAACCAGAGAGGCAAATCTTCCTGTTTTTCCACATCTGGTGGTTTGCTTCCCTTCTGTGGAAGTAGCCAGCTTTTAGAAAAGACTTAAAGTCAGAGTTAGAGGACTGAGACAACTAGACTGTTGCTCACATATCTGTGTTACAGTCTGATTAGAGGATACTTGCAAAAACAACCTTATGGTATTGCAGATGTAGAAGATGAGGGAGAGAGCACGGTAAACTCTTGCATTTTTTGGTTTGTTGGCTGCATTGTGGAGAACTGCTGTTCAATTGAAATACGGTTAAAACTAATAATAATCTGAATGGAAGGATGGATTTAAAGGCAGTGTTAGGATTTGGTGGAATGATCCAGTGCCCAGTGAAGTCAGTAGAAAGGGGCCCATAGATCAAGAATTTTGGCTTAGGGTACAAAGGATTGCTTGTCTTGTCCTGCAGTGACACAAGCCCAACCTGGATTTTTTTTTTTTTTTTTTTTTTTGCAAGTGAAATAGTTTCATCTTGTGGAAAGTACTTTCACAGCCTGAACTGTGCACTGAGTAAAATACTGCATAAGCAACATAAAAAACATTTATATCTGGAAATGGGGGGAGAGAGCACAAGGAACTCCCTGTTAACGGCAGCAAGTCCTTTTGACCGTTTCAGATTTATCATTGGATGTATCAGATAAAGGAAAGCAACAGGGAACTGGTGACTCAGCATTATCTAGGAACAACATATGAAAAACGGCCAATGTATTATCTTAAGGTGAGTGAGGATCTGTTATTAAAAATAAAGGGCATCTTCATAAACGGGGGCATGTCTAATGTGGCCATATGGTGCCTTTGTTTACTGTGCCATCATTTAGTAGTTCCTTTTGGAAGTACTAAAAGATGGGGCAGTAATGGCCTGTACTGCACCATGCTGCCTGCACACGGTTATTTTTGGCTGCTACATCACCATAGCAACATAGTATAACAAGGGAGTGTGTTGCTACAGCGCTGTAGTGGAGGCATCCTGGTTTTTGCCAATGGTAAAAAGCCTCTTGTGTAGATGCACCCTTGGAGTTGTAAATGTCAAGGTTCAAACCTTCTCTAAAAGGATTATTGTCCGGATTAACTGAAAAAAACAGATGTTTTTGCTTTTAGATAGTATATTAGAGATGCCTGCTATCTCTCAGAGGATTATAAAAAATCTTTGAGATCACTGTTACAATGTGAAGACACCAGGTTTGGCTAAAATATTATATAGCGGAGAGACCATAATCAACCTTGTGTAGCTGTATATGTCATAGCTGCTTCTCTAGTAGAGGGGCTGTCTGCTTTTAACACCTTCTATGAAACACCACCTTTCTACTGTGACTATTTCATGACAATTTGTTCAAGAAGTCATGGCAAAATGACAGTTTTAATCATTTGCTTGGCTATTATATAATCTGTCTCCAATGCCAAGTAAAATTAGACTTTTTCTTTCTGCATGTCTACTTCCAAAGAACATCAAAGTATGAACAAACAGTCCAGCATATGACCAGTATATATTGATTTAAAAAATGGCTTTATTGACACTCTTTTTTCAACAGGCACTTTAAAATTTTTGTTCTGGGATTATACTGAGATTGGGTTATCAGGGAGGAAAGCCGGTCATAATGAAACCTGTAATAGTAATGATCTTGGATGGCTCAGAAGTATACCAAAGAACACACTTTGTATCCTATAATATGCTGGCCTGTTTTATTGTAATATAAGTTTTCCTATTGATCACTTTTTACATTCCTTAGATCAGTCAACCCACAAATAAAGCCAAGAAGATTATTTGGATGGATTGCGGGATTCATGCCATAGAATGGATCTCTCCAGCCTTCTGCCAGTGGTTTGTGAAAGAAGTGAGTCATTCTTTTCCTGTTTTCAGTAATGAAAAGGACATACAACTGGATACTTCAGTTCTTATCATCTGCTCTTTAAGAGAAAGCGCTATGCTTTCACTCTCAGCGATAGGTAATATTTACTATTTGTGCAGGTTTGGAGGCCCAAGTTCATACAATGGCTTGGTGGTTGACACCTTGTCCTCTCAATTTGATCCAAATTCCATTGAAGTGAATGGGAAGATTGCCATTTACTATAGTGGGCTATAGATCAAGTTTTTTGTGTGTATCCCAGAGCCACCAGGCCGTGTGGAACAATTTAAGATCCTAAGAGTAGAATACTAGAAGATGTAGTATAGAGAGATTCCTTAACTTTTTGTGTATAGCTGTCCTAAAGCTCCTGCTTATCTGTGCAGCTTACAACAATAAAAGTACTAGAGTGAATTATACATGTAATTTAATAGAGTGCCATGTCTGAAATGTGTTTGAGGTTGCAGTAGATGTCTTAGTGTGCTTGATGGGCAAGAGGAATTGAGGTTACCACTTGGGATCTAAGACCATCTGATTCTTCTGTGCTAGATCTAAACTAATATGTGTATGATCTTAATTGATTAATGCCAGGTTGTCTGATGCAAGTCTTTTGTGCTCTTTCTTGCATAAAGATCAGAAGGGAAACTGGCAACTGATTTTTATTATGTAATGGGGATGTTCAAAGGAAAACACAAAAAAATTGCAAA